CTTACCAATAAAAACGGATCTTAAAAAAATGCACTGAGTGATTGATGATGCATATTTGCAATTAATTTCATCACATATGATAGTGGAACAATCTAAGTAAAATTTTCAACTTACTCTAATAATGCCAGTTTATATTTTGTATGCCAACCATGTCCATGACTTCATTTTATCTTTCATGTTTTTGCTGTTTTACTTTATAAGCCTAAGTACTATTTTACCTTCATTGCAAACATTTTTGCAAGAAGTTTAAACTCACTAGTAAAGTATCTTAAGGGCCCAGCACAAGAGCCTAGTGGCTAAATCCTCACCTTACACTCAGGGATCCCATTTGGGTGCTGTTTCATATCTCAGCGGCTCTGCTATCCAGCCAGCTCCCTGATTGTGGTCTGGCAAAGAAAGCAGTAGAGGATGCCCCAAAGCCTTGGGATCCTGCCAGGGCATAGGATTCCTGAAGAAGCTCCTGGCTCCTGGCTTCGAATTGGCTAGCTCTGGCCATTGCGGCTACTTGGGGACTGAACCAGTGGAGGGAAGATACTTCTCTCGGTCTCATCTCTCTGTAAATTTGCCTTTCCACTAAAAACAAATAAATCTTTTTGTTAAAGTTTCTGTAATGTAAAAACTATGCAATGAAGAGCACAAATACATTTTTGTATGCTTCCTTTGCTAGTGTAATTCACATGCCTCACTGTAAAAACAATTTAAGTACATAACAATTTACTTATGTGAGTCTTAGTAAATTTTTAAGAGTATTAACCCCTAGAACAATGATGAGATATTTCCATCAAATGTAGCTGCTAACATCTTGCATGCTTCAATTTGTGGCAACATCACACTAACATTAGCAAGAAATGAACAGATAAAAAGTGGGAAGGATTAGTAGTTTGCTTAAAAAATAACAGATTGTACTTGTAAAGCATAAAGTTCAACAGTAGCATGATGGAATATATGATTAAATAATGTCCTCAAGTGTGAATGTTTTTATGAAAGATCTTAAATCGCACACATCACTTTGACTTTTATTTTCTTATTTTCTTATGCTCCTGCTGTTTTTTTTTTTTTAACTTGGACTCAAAGAAGTGCTGCACTTCATACTGCTTATAAACCAAGTAGGACATCTATTAACAATGATAATCAACATACAAACATTAATAGAAATGCATTGCATATATTATTAACCTTTAGAATGGCTCTTAGCATATTAAATTATGTGTTGTAACTTTACATATACAGTTTTCTTAATGAGTAGGAATTTTCTAATAACAGATTTTTGAACTCTGGCTGGTAATATACATGTGTGGTCTTCAAAAATTTCTTGGAAATCCACATTATCTTTTAATATCAATTACCATAAATGATTTGAAGGGTCCTTGCTGGACTCTTAATGGGAAAACTGATTTTCTAAAAATAAATAGAAATAAATTAAACTTCAATTCTTTTTGTTTGTTTCTTTCCAGGCCCCTTATAATTACTATGTTAGGTCCAAAGATGTCTATGTTTCATACAAAATGACATCAGTGGACACCAACTGAACTAAGCTATGAACTATGAAGAAAAACTATAAGTGCATATTGCCATATTAATGAGCCCATCAAAACCTATATATCTTACTCATACGCTCATTTACTAACTATATGTTAAACTGAATAAAAACTTAGTCCTAATATTTCAAAATAAAAATATCTGTAGTATATTAAAAAAAAGTCACCCTGGCCTTTGTCTTAACTGGAACTATAAAGCATTTTGAATATAATTTTTTAACAAGCCTATATAGCACAAAATTTGTAGGCAGTAACTGAATATCTTTTCCTTAAACATTTTATTGATTTTTAGTATCATAGTGGTGGAACTTAATGGTGTCATTATTTTAGGTTTCAGACTAAAATTACTTTCCTTTATTAAAACTACCCTTTGTATTATTTTACATAGTAATAAGTTTTTATCAATATCAATTATTAATGATCCTTCCTATAATCTGATTTTTAATTACATTGTTTAATAAAGATAGTAAGTTCTATAGAGCCAATTCAACCAGACATTTTGATTTCTCAGCTAATGTACACAAACACATAATTGCTTCTTTGTAAAACTACTTAATATGGTATTTAAAGTGAAATTAGTTTTCAAAAAGCATGCCACTGATGGTTTTAAAAAGGTCCAGCTTACAACAAGAGATAGTTCATTTGTCAAAGCTACATTTTATCACCTTTAAACCACCACCATTTCTCTTATGAACAACATGGCTGAATCAGCTGATTCATATGGTATCCCAGTTTTGGTTCAAACAAAGAGACTCCCATCTTGAAGTAGAAGGTCTATGCCACGATTATCTAATTTAAAAAAACTAGTTATTTTATGAAAGAAAAAGTAAAGTTTAAAAATGTTAATATTTGTGTCCACAAAAATAAAAATCAATATTTTACAGATGTTATAAAAATATTCTTTATTCTACCTCAGGCTGGTAGCAAACATGGCTGGAACTGCTTTATTTGAAGGTTTTTTATTTTCAATTATTGTGTGTTTTTATTATGAAAAGATTCAAAAACAAAATACTACAATTTATGAGTCTTTTTAAGGAAGAGTTATTTGAAAATCAGAATTACAGAGAGAGTGCAAGACACAGAAAAAGGTGGAGTCTGAAGCCAAGCTCTTCTAATAGGTCCCCGGCATAGGTGGCAGTGACCCAAGCACTTTGGCCAATTTCCATTGCTTTCTCAGGAGCAATATCAAGGATCTAGGTTGGAGGTGGAGTAGCTGGCACACAAACTAGTGTTCATATGTGTTGCAGGCATCACAAGCATACAGTTTTATCAGCTACTCCAGAACAACTGCTCTATTAATGTAGGAGTCTTTAATTCCATCACTCCTGCTAATCCATAATCTTTTCACTCCATACAGCTACTGCCCAGTTTTGATACTTTTCAACAATATTTCAACTTTGTTTAATTTATTCTCTCAAACTTGTTATTAAAACAAATTGCAGAAACTGTACTCTTTCAAACATATACTAGAAAAAATTCTTTGGCAGTATCTATCCAAACAAATTACTATTGTATAATAACTCAAAACACAATGCTGAAAAACTTCCATGCTTCACTCAGCATCAAGTTTTTATAGAGTTTATACATTTTTACATAAGTACACTAACAAAAAATTCTATTCCACTTGCCTCCATTAACCTACGACTAGCTTCCATCCCCTTTCATCAAGCCACAAATCTGTTGAAAAAATAGGATCATTCTCCATTTCATTGCAAGCAATCTAACTATATCATTTAATATTCACTTAGCACTTACATCAAAACCTTCTTACTAAAAAGATCACACTTTTATCTATTTAAGCAGAGGAGAGAACAAGAGAACTTCAGAAATGGTGATGTGCGTATTTCTCAAATGCACATTAGGTGGAACAAGATGCCTAGTTAGTACACTTTAGGTGGCACAATGGGATTAATCACTGCAATATTATTAATCTAAGCTATCACTATCATCACTGTCAAGTTCTCCATAGACAATATATTTTACAATCATGCCTCAGCAGACTTGACTACCTCTCTCATTCATTTTAATGACATTATTATAGCAAGAATGTCTTAGTGACAGACCTTCAATCTATTTCCAATGCCTTACAATACATACAAATATATATATAATTATATATATAATATATATATAGTAATTTTATACCTTTCCAGTATACAGGATAGATATCTCAAAGTAGATCAAGTGGGTCTAAAGTTAAATGAACACATAGTCTTCTAGACATTGACAAATTCATCTCCAAGAAGTGTGCCTTTTCGCATTCTTAAAATGTATAGCTCCCCTGGGACTAACGTATGTCTTTGGCAAATTGAAGAAGTAATATGAAAAAGAGAAAAAAATCATTTGTTACAGAAAAATCTCAAATATTAAATAATGCTCTGAAAACTCCTTATCCTAACTTGGTATTCAATTCAAAATATTTTAAAAGTAACTTCTTTTTTAATATGAGGGTTTAAAAAGATTATAAAAAGATATAAACAGTGTTACTGTCTTTTCAAAATTGTCAGTATATTGTCTACGATAGAAAGATACTCTAATGTACATAAATTCAACATGATATAGAATAACTAATATTATTTCTATTTCTAATTATTTCTAATTATTTCTAATTCCATGTTAAAAACACAAATACTAAAAATTGGGAAGAGACTGAATTTCTCAAATTTATAGTGTAGGATCCAAACGTTCAGGCTGTTTCTTGGCATTATTTCATTTTAATTTAAGAATAAGCATGTTAATGGCATTATTATAGATAATAAAATGCTTATCTTTACATCTTATTACTATGGATAATAAGATGCATAACTTCACTGTTAAATAGCGAATTTTGAGTGAACATATGATTTCTAGAACTTTGGAACTTGGAAACACGGGTTTTCACGCTTTAATATAAATTGAAACTCAAAAATACAGTAATATAGTTTCTTTATAAATTCAACACAAATTTATTTGTATCCTGTCATTACTATTTGTATGTACTTATTTATCTACCTGTTCGTGATCACTACTGGTAATAATTAACTTTAAAGTCAAATATAGTACAGTACCAGAAACCTATGCTTTTTATTGAAGTGGCTGAGATTTGGAAGAGCAGATCTAGATCCACATAAATACCATTTTGTTGCATAACATAAATGAAATTTGGGCTTATACTCTACGTATTCCTCAGAAAAAAAGTGAAATATCACGTTATTGTTATTAGATTACTTCCTGCATCAAACGGATTCTTGTTTTATTCTTATAACTGTATTCAACTGAATTTATATTTCCAAAATAGCTGTTAAAATTATTTAAGCCACCAAAATCATGAACCCATGGTAATTAGCACGCCCCCTGCACAAAAAGTATAAATCCTTTAGGCTCAAATGTCTAAACGCAATGTAAATAACACTGACTTTATCAATAAAAGATCATTGTCCAGGACAAAGTTTGTAAGATACTTCATATTCTGTTGACACTTACCTGAAGGATGAAGATTTTGTTCCTCTAAAAGTTCTAAATCTAGCATTAGATCATCTTCATCTAGTTCACAAGACCCCAAATTATTCAAAACATCCTAAAAGAAAAGCAAAACCAGTAACAGTTAAGAGTCCAAAATGCTGAGACAGGCAATGTCTAGATGCAGAAGCTTTGAAGCATAAGTAACTCATAGGTTAAAAGTATTCTCACTTCACAAATTATTTTTACTTTACAACTTCTGAAATCACTAGTCCAAGAAAAATCCCAAGAATCAGTCTAAAGAATCAAATTACGAATGTCCTGCTTTTAAAAATAATGCATACTTAAATGGAGGCATATAACATATAAAATATATTAAAATACACATAGGAAACTGCTTTTTTTTTCCAGAAAAACTCCCTAATGATTTTGAAAAAGCTAAGAATTAACTAGTTAAAATATATAAAATAGGAAATAAATATTTTTTTTAAATACAAAGCAGTCTTTAAATGTAAACAGACAAGTTTGCTTCTTGTCTGTTTATATGAAAGATCTATGTAATCCTCTTCTGAAATACATAAAGAATTGTCCCCAGAACAACTCTGCATACAGCAATACTGTGAAACTGTAATTTAGGACCACCTGGAAGAAGGCATCCAGTTGTAATTGCCCAATCATTTGCATTACGTAGGAGGAATGAACAATTAGAATAAAGATAAAAATTAATTACTTATCTTCACTGCATCACATGCAGCACTCCATTTGCTTAAAAAAGAGGGTAAATCATAAAATAAACTAGAAGAATACTCATTATTAAAGATTTATTTCCATTTTTATTTGAAAAATGAAGTTACAGAAAGAAGGAGAGACAGAGAGAAATAGCTTCCATCTGCTGGTTCACCTCCAAACGGCCATAATAGCCAGTGGTGAGCTGATTTGAAATCAGGGACCTTGCACTTCCTACAGGTCCCCACTTGAGTGCAGATGCCCAAGGACTACATGCCATCCTCTGCTGCTTTCACATGTCCTAGGCAGGGAGCTGGATTGAAAGTGGAGCAACCAGGACTTGAACTGTTGACAAAATGTGATACAAAATGTGTATATATAGTTAGATAGATGGATAGATATACACACAAATATATGGTGGATATACTGAAGTAAGAGGTGACCAGTGTTGTGATGCAGTGGGATGAGCTGTTCCTAGAAAGCCAGCATCCCCTACTCCTATCCATATCCATATCCCAGCTATTTTGCCTCCTTTCGAATTTCCTGCTTATATGTCTGGAAGGCAGTTGAAAACAATCTAAGTGGGAGAACAGCATGGATTTCTGCTTCATGGCTTCAGCCTGGCCCTGCTATATCAATTTGAAGAGTAAACCAACAGACAATAATTTCTCTCTCTATTTCGCCCTCCCTCCCTCCTTTTTCCATCCCTCCACCCACACTTCTTTCTCTGCCATGTGTTTTTCCTCTCCCATTTCATATAAACAAATAAGTAAATCTGTAAGACCAAAACAATGTAAACATTTTACAGTACAATCTTCAATCAATTTGAATGTTACAGTACAGTAATTTCTGTCTAAAGACCCAACTGTTTACTAAAGGCTAATGGTATTATTAAATTGATTCTGAATATTTTAGTTCTTGACATTAAAAGTTAAAACATTGTTTTCTTAAACATCCACTTTAATAAGTGAAATCAAACATTATTAAACTTTAGATGCTATAACCAGAACAGAGTAGTTTGGAAGGCAGTAAATACTCCCAAGTTTAATCAGTTTTTCTTCCAATGAAAGTAAATAACAATTTAAACTATAAATAAAAACAATTTCTGTATTGGCTAATCTGTTCTGTACTATCTCAGGGATATAGCAATTAGACAAAATTCTTTGTCCATATACTAAAACATGGACTAAAATGTAAAATAGTTAAAACAACAGAAGAAACAAAATCTGCGTATGTGGAAATCTGTGTATGTGTAAGGTGGAAAAAGAAGGGGTTGGCAGGGACAATTTGGTTCATATACTATCATCAATGCTTCTTGTACTTGACCCAAGTGATAGCGTCTTACTCTGGTAGTCCTTTAATCATACAAACCATCGCTACATCTTACACTTAAAGCGCAGTACTTTATCCAGCTTGTCCACACATGCTTATTCACTGGTATAGTAGGCCAGGCTTCTGCCTGTGATCTGGCATCTCACATGGGTCCTGGCTCACATCCCAGCTGCTCCATTTTTCATCCAACTCCCTGATTGTGTGCTCTAAAATTCAGATAAAATCTTAACGTTCAACACCTTCAGAGTATGTATTTAGAAACTAGGCATTTTAAAAGGAATTAATGTCAAATGATGTCATTTGAGTGGGCTCTAATCCAATGTATTAAATTTTGGGGAAAAAATAAAGAAAAAAAAAGTCAACACAGGCAGAGGGAGACCGCATGAACAGAAAAGATGTTCCCTTGAAAAGTCAAGGAGAATGTCATTAGGAGAAATCAAGTCTTGCCTACACTTTCACCCTATAGAACGGGGGGGGGGGGGGGGGGGGGGAGGAGAATTAGGGAAACTGTTATTTTAACCACCCAGTCTGTGATGTTTTATTGTAGTAGCTCTAGCTAACCAACACAGCCAACAATATTTATAAAGCAATGGAAGATGTAAAGAAGGCATGTCTGTCATCTGAAATTTTTTCTTAGAATGTCAAATAAGGGCATGTTGCCCATTGTAAATTTCTATCAAATGGATTTCATATCATTCCTTCCTTTTATTTGGAATCACAATTTTTATCCACCTAGCTACAGAGGAAGCTATCAGACTCTTACATAAGCCAAACTCCCTTTTTGGTTGATGCTTCAAGATTGGCATTCATGGGCCTGCACTGTTTAGTAGTAAACTGGGCTTCTGCCTGTGATGCCAGCATCCCATATGGACTCTGGCTCAAGTGTCAGCTGTTCCATTTCCCACCCAGTTTCCTTTCTGTGTCCTGGGAGAACAGCAAAGAATGGGTCAAATATTTAGGCCCCCTGAACCCATATGGGAAACCCAGGGGAAGCTTCTGGCTTCTGGTTCTGGATCATCTCAGCTTTATCCATTCCATTCATTTAAGGAGTAAACCATCCCAGCTCTACCCATTGCACTCAACTGAGGAGTAAATTGACATTGGAAGGTCTCTTTCTGTCTCTGTTCCCTTTCCTCTCTGTACCTCTCCACTTCAAACAACAGCACAATGTATTTTTAGTTTTTTTAAAAGAAGATAATCCTAAATTTGACTAGAGCCCATCTTGTTATAAATCAGAAAAGTCTCTGGTGATGATACAGAACGCTACTAACACAGGGGCAGTATACTTTAGAGTGCGAATAAAATCAGGGTAAGTGTATTTGAAACACTATGCCCGAGAGCAAGAGTCATGCATGATCTTTTCAGAATTGATCTGCCTATCCTTCTTTTGAACTGACGGTTAATGCATCAATCTGCAGTTTTAAAATGAAATTTCCAAAGATTTGATTTCTTTAACAGGGAAATAGTTAAAAACTATGACATTGCTCTCCAACAACTCCTATAAGAAAGTATCACCAATAAAGTAAGAAAATTAGATTTAGAAAACTCACTACATTGTTCTTATTTTATTCTCATTCTGCAGGTGACTCTTGACACTGGACTAGCAGGGTCCTATTTATCACAGGCCTAGATGAACTGCTTCTTAAATCTACTCATCCTAAATTGCTTTGCTATGATATCTTGCTTACAAAGCAATTTTCTTGTTAGTGCAGCAGCAAGTCTTTGAAGCTGGTGAAACCTCATAATAAGAGGAGAGCAGAGGTGGCAATATGCTATGTTACAGCAAAAAAATCAATAAGAATTTATAAACTTAAAAGGAATTATCTTTTCCTTATCTTTCTCTAAAAGAGATCAACAGCAACAGCATTACTTTTACCCACAGGCAGCACTTAGGGGAAACACTAATATCTGGATACTTGATGCTTAATATCAAGTAAGGCCAAGAACTAGGATTCTTCAGTAATTAGAGAAAGGGGTGGGGATAGAAGCAGAAAGAGGAAAAGAACAAAAGAGAAACAGGAAGAGAAGAAATAAAAGGGTGGAAAGAAACCAAGCAGGTGGGAGCTGAGGGAGGTACACAGAGAGCTGCTCCAATTTTTTTCTTCATTTAAAGAAAAAATAGCAAAATTTACTTTGAAAGACTAGCTAAGGAAAGCAAAAGGAGGCAGGAAAAATAAGAGCTTATTGCTCGAAGACAGCATTGCTCAGATTCCAAAACCAGAAAGGACACAACAAAGAAATCAGTCTATTTATTCATCAATACAACTGACATAATATATAAATATGAAAAATTTGCACAAAATAATGATCAGCCTAATCCAATTAATCTTGAAAATCAATCCCTATGCTCAAACAATGTTTATCGCAGTGATGTAAGGATAATTCTACATATACAAATCAATAAATCGAAACATCACATAAAAATGAATGATTAAAATCAAACCATCATTTATATAGATGAAGAAAAAAGATTACATAAAATTCAACACTTACATATAGTTAAAAAAAAAACCTAAACAAGGTGTGTATAGACAGTTTGTACTTTAAATTTACATTAGCTACATATGAAAACTCACAGCAAATATTGTAATGAGTGAAGGGAAAAGATAAAAGCATTTCCTCTAAGACATAAAACTTGACAAGACTGTCCAAATTCATCAATGTGGTTTATAAGCACAAAGGAATATTGTCACACTGTAAGGAAGAATGAAATCTTCCCATGTTTTACAAAATTAATGGAATTTAAGGACTTCATGTTAGATGAAATAAGTCAGAAAGAAAATATCAAATATTGCAAATCCTCTCTCACATGTATATGTAGAAAACAAAATTCATCTGAACTTAGAGCAGTGCTTTAGGAAGAACAGAAGAATAGGTGGAAGGGTGGGTGACAGGTACCAAATGCTATCAGTAGTAATGGGATGCTGATAGATGACAATAATGCCTGATATACTATATAGTGAACTAAAAGAGAGGATAGGAGAGACTTAATTAATGCAGGAAGATGGAGATGTGGAGACACTGGTTTGCCTGATTTGATCAATTTAAAAGTGTGGAAAT